GAGACTAAACATGCTCCTGAATGAACACTGGGTGATGGAAGTAATCAAAAGAGAAATCAAAATCTTTTTGGAAGCAAATGAAGATAACAACACAACATATCAAAACTTATGGGATACAGCAAAAGCAGTTTTAAGAGGAAAATTTATAGCAATAGGTGTCTATATCAAGAAATTTGAAAGGCACCAAATAAATGAGCTATCAGTGCATCTCAGGGATATAGAAAAAGTGCAGCAAACCAGACCCAAAACTAGTAGGAGAAGAGAAATAATTAAAATTACAGAAGAAATCATCAGAATGAATCCAAAAATACATTACAAAAGATCAGCAAAATGAAGAGCTAGTTTATTGAAAAAATTAACAAAATTGACACCCCATTGGCCTAAAACTAAAAAAAGAAAAGACCCAAATCAATAAAATCAGAGATGAAAGATGGAATGTAACAACAGACAACACAGAAATAAAGAGTCTTCAGAAATTACTACAAAGAGTTGTATGCCAGCAAACAGGGAAATCTATCAGAAATGGATAGATTCCTGGACAATACAACCTACCTAAATTGAACCATGAAGACACAGAAAACCTAAACAGACCCATAACTGAGACAGAAGTTGAACAAGGAATAAAGGCCCTTCCAACAAAGAAAAACCCAGGACCGGATGGATTCACTGATGAATTCTACCACACATTTAAAGAAGAACTAACTCCAATTCTTCTCAAACTATTCAGAACAATCAAAAAAGAGGGAATCCTCCCAAATTCTTTCTATGAAGCTAGCATCACCTTAATTTCTAAACCTGAGAAAGATGCAGCATTGAAAGAGAATTAAAGAACAATTTCCCTGATGAACATAGATGCAAAAATCCTCAATAAAATTCTGGCCAATAGAATGCAACAACACATCAGAAAGATCATCCACCCAGACCAAGTGGGCTTTATCCCTGGTATGCAGGGTTGGTTCAGCTTTCGCAAATCAATCAGTGTGATACACCACATTAACAAACTGCGAAGAAAAACCATATGGTTATCTCAATAGATGCAGAGAAAGCATTTGATAAAATACAACACCCTTTCGTGATGAAAACTCTAAGAAAATTGGGTATAGAAGGAACCTTCTTCAATACAATCAAATTCATTTATGAAAAGCCCACAGCGAGCATCCTATTTAATGAGGAAGTTGGAAGCATTTCCACTGAGATCTGGTACCAGACAGGGATGCCCACTCTCCCCACTGCTACTCCAAATAGTACTGGAAGTTTTAGCCAGAGCCATTAGGCAAGAAAAAGAAATTAAAGTGATACAAATTGGTAAGGAAGAACTCAAACTATTCCTTTTTGCAGATGATATGATTTATCTAGGGGTTCCAAAGAACTCTACTAAGAGACTATTGGAACTCATAGAAGAGTTTGGCAAAGTAGCAGGATATAAAATCATTGCACCAAAATCAACAGCATTTGTATACACAGGCAATGTCACAGCTGAGAAAGAAATTCTAAGATCAATCAGAATTAACAATAGCCACAAAAACAATCAAATACCTTGGAATAAATTTAACCAAGGACGTCAAAGGTCTCTACAATGAGAATTACAAAATCTTAAAGAAAGAAATAGAAGAGGACACCAAAAAATGGAAAACTCTTCCATGCTCATGGATTGGAAGAATCAATACCATAAAAATGTCCATTCTCCCAAAAGCAATTTATAGATTCAATGCGATACCAATCAAAATACCAAAGACATTCTTCTCAGATCTGGAAAAAATGATGCTAAAATTCATATGGAGGCAAGAACACCTCGAATAGCTAAAGCAATCTTATATACAACAAAAACAAAGCCAGATTCATGATAATACAAGATTTCAGGACATACTACAGGGAAGTTATAATCAAAATAGCATGGTACTTGTACAGAAACCGATGGATGACCAATGGAACAGAATAGAAACACCAGAAATCAATCCAAACATCTACAGCCAACTTATATTTGATCAAGGATCTAAAACCAATTCCTGGAGCAAGGACAGCCTATTCAATAAATGGTGCTGGGAAAACTCAATTTCCACGTGCAGAAGCATGAAGCAAGACCCCTACCTTTCACCTTACACAAAAATCCACTCAATATGGATTAAAGACTTAAATCTACAACCCAACACCATCAAATTATTAGAGAACATTGGAGAAACCCTGCAAGATAAAGGCACAGGCTTCCTGGAAAATACTCTGGAGGCACAGGCAGTCAAAGCCAAAATTAAGAATTGGTATTGCATCAAATTGAGAAGTTTCTGTACTGCAAAAGAAACAGGAAAGTGAAGAGGCAAACAAAAGAATGGGAAAAAATATCTGCAAACTCTGCAACCGATAAAGGATTAATAACCAGAATCTACAAAGAGATCGAGAAACTCCGCAGCAACAAAACAAACAAACCAGTTAAGAGATGGGCCAAGGACCTCAATAGATATTTTTCAAAAGAGGAAATCTAAAGGACCAACAGATACATGAAAAAATATTCAGCATCTCTAGCCATCAGGGAAATGCAAATCAAAACCGCAATGAGGTTTCACCTCACCCTGGTTAGAATGGCTCACATACAGAAATCTACCAACAACAGATGCTGGCGAGGAGGTGGGGAAAAAGGGACACTAACCCACTGTTGGTGGGAATGCAAACTGGTTAAGCCACTATGGAAGTCAGTCTGGAGATTCCTCAGAAACCTGAATATAACCCTACCATACAACCCAGCCATCCCACTCCTTGGAATTTACCCAAAAGAAATTAAATTGGCAAATAAAAGAGCTGTCTGCATCTCAATGTTATTACAGCTCATTTCACAATAGCTAAGACCTGGAATCAACCTAAATGCCCATCAACGGTAGACTGGATAAAGAAATTATGGGATATGTACTCTATAGAATATATACAGCAGTGAAAAAATGAAATTCAGTCATTTGCAAGAAAATGGAGGTATGTGGAAAACATCATGCTGAGTAAATAAGCCAGTCCCAAAGGGACAAATATCATATGTTCTCCCTGATCGATGACAACTAAGCACCAAAAAGGAAACCTGTTGAAGTGAAATGGACACTATGAGAAACAGTGACTTGATCAGCCCTTGTCCTGACTGTCAAGGAACAACTTACTATTTTTTTCCTTTAAGTATTTTTGTTATACTTAAAACCATTGGTTGAACTCTGTAATTAACACACATTTATTCTTAGGTGTTGAAATTTAACTGAAAGGTGATCCCTGTTAATTATGAGTAGGGATAAGAGATGGAGGAGATGTACAGTTTGGCACATGCTCAATCAGACTTACCCCAAATGGTAGAGTTAGAAACTTGTCAGGTGATTCCAATTCAGTCCCATTAAGGTGACATGTACCAATGCTATCTCACTAGTCAAAGTGATCTGTTTCAGTTCATAATTGATGATAATGATAGGACTAAGAGTCCAAGGGATCACATAAACAACACTAGTGTCTGCTAATACTAAGTGATAGAATTAAAAGGGAGAGAACGATCCAACATGGGAAGTGGGATACACAGCAGACCCATAGAATGGCAGATGTCCTAAACAGCACTCTGGCCTCAGAAGCAGCCCTTAAGGCAGTCGGATATGGCTAAAAAGCCCATGAGAGTATTTTAGGCATGGAAAGCCAAGACACTCTGGCAAAAAAAAAAAAAATGACCTAAATGAAAGCTCTCTGTGACTGAGATCCCAGCAGAAAGAACAGGACATCAAAGAAGGAGGTACCTTTCTCTGAAGGGAGGAGAGAAATTCCACTTTGACTATGACCTTGTCTAAATAAGATCAGAGTTTGTGAACTCAATAGGCTTCCATAGTCTTGGCATCTCATGATAAGAGCCTCGGTGATTACTGACGTCATAAATAAGAGTGTCAATTGTTAAATCAATAAGAGGAGTCACTGTGCACTTACTTCTCATGTAGGATCTCTGTCCTTAATATTTTGTACTATGTGAATTAGCTATGTGAATTAACTAGTACTTAAACTGTACTTTATACTTTGTGATTCTGTGTGGGTGCAAACTATTGAAATCTTTACTTAGCATATACTAAATTGATCTTCTGTATATAAAGGTAATTGAAAATGAATCTTGATGTGAATGGGATGGGAGAGGGCGTGGGAGATGGGATGGTTGTGGGTGGGAGGGAGGTTATGGGGGGAAAAAGCTGCTTAATCCAAATGTTGTACTTTGGAAATTTATATTTATTAAGTAAAAGTTAAACTAAATTAAAAAAAAAAGAAAAGAAAAGAAAACCCAAGAACTCATTATCTGGTCATTATTCAAGTCCTGGGGGCTTCTAGCCATTCTGTCTTCCATCCAACTCTTTTGTTTTATTTGTTTTGTTTTGTTGGTGCAATTATAAGCATATTGATTTAATGAGTGGGGGGCTCACTCCCTGCTGCAGATAGAAATGAATGCCATGGTACCACCTTTTGAAAAAAAAAAAAAAGGCTTCATTGCAAAGTCAACTGGAAAGGAGATCAGAGACATGAGACAAGGTTCAAATCTGTCTCCTGATCACAGGGCAGTTGTGGAATTAAGGCTTGGTTTGGGCAAAGGTGGGGGTCGATTCAGGGAATAGAGAGATTAGGGCTCAGCTTGTACTGATTCCTTGACTGTGCCTGGAGATTTTTGGCTGTACAGTATTCTGAGATATTATCATATTCTGTTAAAGCAAAATGTTTTATTGTTCTGTATTTTTGCTGCATCTGTAAAAAAAGATTTTTACATTTTTGTCACCAGATGAAATATTTCCTCTAGATATCTACAGAGTTGAACAAGTCTGAATGGGCTCTGTGGTTACACTTCCAAGGAAGTACCAGGGAAAACTTAATCTACACAATCTTGTTTTGGAACCAGACACCACTGGCTATATTTTATGTATAAAATGTAGACATTTAGAAAATGAGAGTAAAAATATTGTCAAAGCAGATTTACTTTGGCATGAGCTGTCATGATAAATGGTCTTTTTTATGTACAGGAATTATGTTGGAATATGAAAAAAATGGAGAATTAAAGATGAAATCCATAGATTTGCTTGATCTAGATTCAAGGTAAGTTAGCTACACAATACAAGATGGGTTTCATATCTAAATTTTATTGGAAAACCCTGATACAGAGTATGATAGATGGATGAACTACACAAATTACAGACAATGCATGTTTTACATAGTTTTTGAAGATTTATTTATTTGGAAGGTAGAGGGAGAACAATAGAAAAACATTTTCCATTCACTGGTTCAATCCCCAAATGGTCACAACAGCTGGGCTGGGCCATGCCAGAAGCATCACCCAGGAGCTACATCTGAGTCTCCTACATGGGTACTAGGAATGAAGTATTTGGGCCATTGTCTGCTGCCTCCCAGACACTCCCATTATTTTAAAAGTTATTCTGTGGTATATGATTTTATGTTTTGTTGGGTTTTATTTGAGGATCTTGCTAAATGAGGAGGAGGAGGTAGAAAAACATAATCAATCTATCATTTTTTCTTTATGGACAGTCCCCCCTCCCCCCCTTTAAGTAAACCTTTTTAGTTTAGAATAGTTTTAGAAATGTTAGGGAGACAGAGATCCCAAGTACACCACACCCATTTCCCATATTCTTGTCTTGGATTTGTCATGATGAACGCAGCAGGGTGGACATGTTATTAACTGAAATTCATACCTGGCTCAGTTTTTCTTAGCTTTCCTGTAACCCCCTTTCTATGCCCCACGATCCTACCCAGCATCCTATAGGACCCTTACTCAGGTTTCCTTGGGCCCCTGTTCTCTGTGACCCATCCTCAGACTTGCCTGATTTTTAATGACTTCAACATATTTGAATAACACCAGTTACTAGATTTCAAAACTATCACTGAGCCCGTTATTTCCTTAGTAACTATTTCATGTGACTGCATACATTCCTTCTCATTCATTACCGTGAGACAGAGGTGGAAGATACAATCTATGTCTCTGAATGTGGTATGGGCCTAGAGAAATTCACTTGCGAGGTCATCGTGCACAGAATGCATTCCCTTTAGGAAGTCTTTGCAAAACTCCAAGAGACAGATAAGGAGAATGGATTCTCAGTGGGTAAAAATAATGACAAAAAATTTTGTGTTCACAATTATGGCTTTCTAAAAAATGAACTTTTAAAGAAGTATTTATTTATTTGAAAGACATGGCAGGAGTGTAAGGGGGGGGGAGAGAGATATCAATCTTCCATCTGCTGGTTCACTCCAAATGGCTGCAAAATCTGGAGCTGGGCCAGGCTGAAGCCAGGAGCCAGGAACTCCATCTGGGTCTATCACATGGGAGGCAGGGACTCAAATACTTGAGCCATCATCCACTGCTTCTCAGACACATTATCAGGGACCTGAAGGGGAATCTGAATAGCCAGGGCTCAAATCGGTAGGACTTCAATCAGCTATCGATATGGGATGCAGGTGTCCCAAACTTAGCTCACTGCACCACAACACCCACCCCATCATAATTCTTTAAATGTTTATTCATGGTTAGGCATTTTTTTCTTTCCCTAGAAATATTTAGAACGTAACCTTTCTGAACCTCAGTTTCTTCGCTTCCACAACAGTCATGATAGAAGGATGATGTCATCGAGGTGTCACAGGACTAAATAAGAGGACATATGTAAAATGGAAAGCTAGCGCAAGGCACACCCAGTATCTGTTCATCGTGTCCAGAACCAGTGAACTCTGGGCCTTGCTAGGAGCTGGTGATCTGTTTTGTGTGGCTAGAACAAAAATACCAGAGATGCGGTAATTTTAAAGAACAGAAATGTACTTCTCATGATCTGGAGACTGGAAAGTTCAAGATGGAGGTGTCAGCCACTCAGGGGTCTGGTGCAGGCTGCTCTCTGCCCCAAGGTGATGCCACCTTTCCACCTCCTCTAGTGATGGAAACATTGCATGCCCACTCACATGACAGAAGGCAGCAGCAGCAAAAGGGACAAACTCCCTCCACCCAGCCCTTTTATAGGAGCTCTACTCTGCTGACTTGGTCATTTTGTGAAGACCCCACCTCTTAATACTGCTACTTTGATGACTAAATTTTCAACAGGGATTTTGAGGAGCCCACAAATATTCAAACCACAGCCCTAGACAAGCACGTCAGAACCCTGGCAATACCTTCCACCTGTGAAGCCCCTGTGATGGCCAGATGTAGTCCAGAAAACCCGAGTCTTGGTTCTGTGCCACCATGCATGCTCTCTATGCTGCTTCCTGATTTCGTGTGATTTTCACCCCTATGGGGAGAGCAATGGTGTTTTTGACATTTTGTGAATGTCATAAAGCAGTGCATTGTTCATGTAATAAACATTTGTGCCATTTTTGCTATGAGAAAAGAGTAACAATTTTGGTATGAATTTCAGTACTGATGTCAGTGCTCTTGTCAAAGACATCCAGAGAGTAGAGCCGCTGATCACGGCTTCCAAGACAGAGCAGGTCACACTTGTAATACGGAGACTGCAGGAGAAGCTTGGACAGTACAGCAACCACAGCTTCCATCTTTTCAAGGTAAAGATATCGTCAAGAAGGCATGCAGTGAAAACATTGCTGTTTGATTGATTTATCATGGAAAACAACATTTCTTCCTCTGAAAGTATTTTTCCATAAAAAGTATCATCAGTGGTTTAATTCCCCCCTCTTATATTTTGTCAGTTTGAATGATTTTATGTTAAGTGAATGTTAAAACTTGTTTCTTGAGATGTTAAATATACATTTGTAGTAAGTTTAGCTTCTCTCTATAAAGGTAAATTTAAGGTGGCACTACCTTTAATTAAAACTGTTCTATCTAGAATAGTGTTAAAATTGTGTTTGATGGCATTTTAGCATTTCATATTTTCTGCTTCCTTGTGAAGTATACTATATTTTGGTAAATTACTTGTTTGTATGGCTAACATTTTTTCCCCAGAAGCCTTTTATTTAAGGTATAGAAACTTCACACACTTCATAAATACAACTTTAGTAACATAGCATACCCACCATACCCACCCTCCCACTCCCACTCCTGCCCTTCTTCCTCCTCTCTCTCCTATTCTGATTCTTATTTTTTACTAAGATCTATTTTCAATTAACTTTATACACAGAAGATTAACTCTATACTAAGTAAAAGAGTTCAACAAATAGTGGGAAAAAGGAACTGTTCCTCAACTGCTTTTTGATTTCTCTTTTGATTTCTGCTATGACCCACTGTTCATTAAGGAGCATGCTGTCCAGTCTCCATGTGTTTGCATATGCTCTAGAGACTCTTGAGTTTTTGATTTCCAGCTCCATTCCATTGTGGTCAGAGAAGATGCATGGTATGATTTCAATTTTGTTTGAATTTGCTGAAACTTGCTTTATGACCTGGCCTGTGGTCTATCTTAGAGAAAGTTCCATGCATTGGTAAGAAGAATGTGTATTATGTGACCGTAAGATGAAAAGTTCTGTAGATAACTGTTAGGTCCATTTGGTCTATGGTGTTGATTAACTGTTGTTGCCTTGCTAATTTTCTGTCTGGTTGATCTGTCCACTGCTTAAAGTGGGGTATTGAAGTCCCCCATTACTATTGTATGGGAATCTATGTCTCTCTTTAGATCCCTTTATATTTGTTTTAAATAGCCAGGCACCCAATAATTAGGTACATATACCTTTATTACAGTCACATCTCCTGTTGAATTGATCCCTTAATCATTACATAGTGCCCTTCCTTGTCTCTTTCAACAGATTTTGTGTTAAAGTCTTTTGTCTGATATTAAGATGGCTACACCAGCTCTTTTTTGGTTTCTGTTAGCATGGAATATCTTTTTCCATCCTTTCACTTTCAGTCCTCATGTATCTTTGTTGGTGAGATGTGTTTCTTGTAAGCAGCAAATAGATGATTTTTCCCCATTCAGCCATTCTGTGTCTTTTAACTGGAAAGTTGAGACCCTATACATTCAAAGTGATTGCATAAGTAACCAGTTGACCCTGCCATTTTTCCATAAATATTCCTGTTATTTACTTTGGATTTACTTTTACTGGGAGATTTTCTGCCTTCACCTTCTTTCTTGGGACCATTTTTCTGTATTTTGGTTTGTAGCAGATCCTTAAGCATCTTTTGTAAGGCTAGATGAATGGTGGCAAATTCTATTTCTGTTTGTTATGGAAGGTCTTTATTTCACTTTCATTCATAAATAAGAGCTCAGCAGGGTACAGTATTCTGGGTTGACAGTTTTTTTCTCTTAAGACTTGGAATGTATCTCACCATTCTCTCCTAACCTGTAGGGTTTCTGATGAGAAGGCAACTGTGTGTCTACTTGGAGACCCTCTGAAAATAATCTGACATTTCTCTTGCATTTTTTAGAAACTTTTTTTATGCTTTACTGTAGAGAGTTTGACTACAATGTGTCATGGTGAAGATTTTTTCTCATCATGTCTATTAGGAGTTCTATGTGCTTCCTTACTTAGATTCCCTTTCTGTTACAGTTGATTTCTTCCTGAGAGGATTCGTTCTGAGAGGAGGAGCGTGGTGGGGGCAAGAGGCGCAAAGTCACCACACAGACCTCAGGAGTCGGGTGAAAGCAGGCCTGAGGCATGCAGCCCACAGACTCATTTATTTCAGTTGCTACAGCTGTTTATATAGCCAAGGCCAGCCAATCTGGTCAAGGGGCGGTCTATGCCCTAACCTATCACAGCCTGTTGCCAGACAGTTTCCGAAGCCATCCAATCACAGCCTGTTGCCAGTCAGGCTCTTGTTGCCAGGCAGTTCCTGAAACCATCCAATCACAGCCTGCTGTCAGTCAGGCTCTGTTGTCATGTGGTTTCCTCTGTTGTCATGTGGTTTCCGAAGCCATCAAATCATGGCCTGTTGCCAGGCAGTTTCTGTTGTCAGTGGCCATCTTGGCATGACCTTTTCACCCCCTCATTCCACCACACCTTTCTTTCCCCAAATTAAGGAAGTTTTCTGTTATTATTTCACTAAAAAGGCTTTTTAATCCTTTTTCTCTTTCCACGCCTTCAGGAACTCCTAAGTCCTATATGTTGGATCATTTGATAGTATCCCATGAATCCCACAGATCTCCAACACTGTTTTTTAGTTTTCTAATTTCTTCTTCTTTTTTTTTTTACTTTGGTCTGATTGTAAAATTTCCATAAATTGGTCTTCTAATTTGTGTATTCTGGCTTCTGTGTTACTGATTCTGTTGTTAAGGCTTTCCACAGGATTTTTAATTTGTTCTCTTGAATTCTTCATTTCCAATATTTCATTTTGATTTTTATTTAAAATCTCAATATCCTGACAAAAATTTTCTTTCCTATGATGTATGGATTTCTTTAATATGTGGATTTGCTTCTGACTACTTCTAAGTAAACCTACAACTAATTTTTGAATTCTGTTGCTGGCATATTTCTTCAGTGTGTTCATTTGCACATTCTTGTATTGAAGTGTTGTTGTGTTCCTTTCAAGGCATCATGTTGTCTTCCTTAATCTTGTTTTTTGAATTACTGCATTTATTTTTAGGCATTTGTGAGGCTACTTGTTGGTTTAGTTATTTATTTTTTTCCCTGTGATGGTTTTTGTCTTTGGACGATGCCTCCGTAGATTAGTCGAATGTCTGCTCTTTCAGAGAATACCGAGGCATGTGCTGGGTGTGGCCTGGGAGCTCTGTTTAGTGTTCTAGGGTGAAGGGACTATCCAAGATGACTCAGAAATTGGGCATGGTAAATCTCTTCTTCCTCTTTTTCTTTTATAATGAAAGGAGAGGTTTGTTCCGCTCTGTTGGCATAGTCTCATGCTCACTCCATTTCCTCCAAGGAGATGGATGCCTGGGTGCTAGCCCCAGTGTGTATAATATTCATTTGTGTTGCCACAAGAACCAAACGAAGAATCAGAGCAGTCTTCGGTGTGAGCACAGATCCTGCAGCAATGACCCTCACCTGGAGTTCAGGGAGCCCTGAGCATGTGCAGCTGCCTGCAATGACTGCCCAGCCACACCCTGTACACTAACATGCAGCCACAGTGTTTTCACAGTCCCAACACACAAGGCTCTCACAGCCACGAGCACCCAGCCCTGTGGGGAGCAACTCGGACTAGACTAAGTTACTGGAATTAAGACTTATTCTATGCATCTGCTCTCCCACAATATGGTGCTGGGAGAGGAGCAAACAGATTCTGCACAGCTGCCTCTCGCCAATTTGATTGAGCTGCAGGAGCTGATCCTGCTCCTGATTGGAGGAGAGCAGCGTGCTCGGCGTGTGGGTGGCAGAGTTGGAATTGGTGGAAGAGGACTATAAAGGAGGAGAGAGACAACATGCACCAGGAACATCTAAGGGGAACACCCGAGGAACATCTGAGCAGCCCCCGAGAGCGGAAGTGGGGAAAGTGGCAGGGGGAACCGCCCTTTCACGGAGGTGGGAGGACGGCAGCCAACCCGGGAAGAACCAGCAGCAAACCCGGGGAGGGCCGAGCAGACAAAAGAACAGCGCAGGGTCCTGTGTCGTTCCTCCGCGAAGAGGGGGAGTGACACAGCCCCATCAGTTCTCCCAGCCAGAGTTAAGCATCTCCCCTTGGCTGGTTGCTGGGTGCACAGACTCACGCTGGCACAGCTGTTATGTATGTCTAAAACATGCCCACCTACTCTCTGCTAGTTACAGGACACTTGCGCTGGGTGGTCAGGGAGAGAGAAATGTTCCCTGTTTTTTTCCTCTAGGTTGGCAGGTACACTGTCTCCACATTCCAAGTCAGACTCAAGCCAGGCTCTTCCTGTAGCTTTATTTGCCAGTGGCTTGGGCTGCTGCAGTCTGGTCTCACCTCACTCTCCAAAGCTGGTGCTGAGACTCTTGCTGCTGGGGCACTGAGTCATGTGTTTCCAAACAATCCACGTAGATCCACAGTGTCCCTCTAATTTGTGTGGTGTTTCCTCTGCTGTTTTCTCCCTAACTCCTCTGTAAGATTGTACTCTTTCCACGTTTTTAAAACTATCTTTCCCTAGACTAGAGCAATAAGCTTTCTCCCTATTCCTTCTACTTGGTGCCTCTCCTGGCTACTGTGATTTTAATACAATGTAAAGATGTTATTTTTTCTCTAGTTTTTGATATTTGAATTAAAAATCTAACAAATAGAGTCACTTAGTACTTCAAGACTAGCTTTTATTTTTCTTTATTGATTAAAATATTTAATGGTTCAGTCTAGAGCTTATCAATTTGCAGACTTTATTTTTGTAGTTGAAATATAATTGTGATAATTAAAATTATTATTTATTCACAATTTGTTCTATGGTATACAAAATACCCAGGCCCTCGTTTGTACCATCTGTTGTTTCTGGGTGAGGGTGAGGTTGTTTTTATCCAGCAGGTGGCACTGTTTAACATCAAATGTGACCTAACTAGGGTAGCCTTGTTACTTTATCCTCTAAGGGGAAAATTTGAGAGTGGAAGGGAATGCTATTAACAGTTATAGTCTGTCAGCAGACATAGTGGGACTGTCCCAGCCCAGCCAATGTCTCTATTAATAGATTATATAATTTATGTATATTCACCCTGTAACTATTTATTAAGCTAGACAATGCCAGGATTGAAAGGTAAGACGTAGTCCTTTGAAAGGAGCTTTATGATTCAAAAAGAAATAATAATACATTATAAAATCTGTATTTGAAATATTTAGTGCATTCTCTATATGCACTGCTTGAAATGTATGCAAAGCTTTATTCCATATGTTAAAGAAAGTGTTACCAATTTGTTGCATTTGGTATCTTATTTAACAGCCATAATTCATCTTAAAGGTAGTTGTTGAGAAACACAGAACCAATCATTGCTCTGCAATCATTCCTAACCACTAGATTGATTGCTTTTTTTTTTTTTTTTTTTTTTGACAGGCAGAGTGGACAGTGAGAGAGAGAGACAGAGAGAGAAAGGTCTTCCTTTGCCGCTGGTTCACCCTCCAATGGCCGCCGCTGCAGCCGGCGCACCGCGCTGATCCTGGCAGGAGCCAGGAGCCAGGTGCTTTTCCTGGTCTCCCATGGGGTGCAGGGCCCAAGCACCTGGGCCATCCTCCACTGCACTCCCTGGCCATAGCAGAGAGCTGGCCTGGAAGAGGGGCAACCGGGACAGAATCCGGCGCCCCAACCGGGACTAGAACCCGGTTTGCCGGCGCCGCAAGGTGGAGGATTAGCCTATTGAGCCACGGCGCCGGCTGATTGCTTTTGTTAATAATAAATATACAATATATTTTTTCTCATTTATTTGGATCTTGGATATTGCCCATTTGTTACACCTAGGCAAGACAATAAGGAATGTCTTCATTGTTCTGAAATTAAAATTAACAAATTAAATTTAATCTGGTTTGGGTCTAAAAAAATGCTGTTTTCTTTTATTAAAGGTTCTCAGGGCGCATATACTGCCACTGACGAATGTTGCACTTAACAAATCAGGCTCATGGTAAGGTTCTTTTTTTATCTCTAATATTTAGAAATCAAGGGATACAATTTTAAGTGTTTATTTGTCAAAGATTCCATTTAGTTAAAGATACAGTGTTCATTTCTTTGAATTAGGACTGTGCTGACTGTGGAAGAGTAGCAGAAGCCCTCTCATTCACTTAATTTTTCTGTTCTAATCTCAGTTCTATAACATTTGGGCCATTGTGGTGGGAGGCTTGTTGGGACCCTAGAATATGTTACAGTTCTGAATAACTTGACTCAGTAACAGGTCAGATGGACAAATGTCCTGTTTGCCTCCGTGGTTGGAACAGACAGGAACAGCATTGGGTTGGTTGTGATCTGTGGATTCAGAGTGGACATTTTCCATCAGTGCTTTCATGGTGCTGAGCCGAACCTTCAAGCTAGTGTTTGGAGCATGGTTTGGTCATCTTGGCAGCTGAGTTGCTGTGTGGGAAAAATGAGGTAGAAGCCTGGTCTTCACCTAAAGACATAAACCTTACCATGTCTGCGTTAGATTGTGAGGGCTGCTGTAATAAAGAACACACAGCACGTGGCATGAACAAGAGAAATTTATTATCCCACAGCTCTTGCAGTTTGAAGTCCAAGATTAAGGTATCAGTCCATTTGGTTCCTTCTGCAGGGTGTGAGGAAGAAGAGCCATTTCCGGCCTCTCTCCTTGGTCTGGGGGTTTATTGGCAGTCCCTGGTGTATAGAAACATCGTCCTGATCTTTGTGTGTATGTCTGTGTCCACATTTCCACTTACTAAATGAGGGGTCTATCCCACTCTACTATGACCCCATCTTAACTAATTATATCTGCAATGACTTATATACATATAAAATCACATTTTGAGGCATATCCCCAATTGACTTCAACATGTGAACTTTTTTGGGGGACACAATTCAACACATAATAATTTCTATATGTATACAGTCTCAGATATTAGTCTACATGTATCCAAAGGTAGAAGAAAAATGCCAAGAAGACAGTAAAATATGCATTGTTTCATCAACGTCTCTTTTTAGGTATATTTAGGAATAATAATTTGTTTTCATATTTTATCAATACCACTTAATATTTAGACATCAATATTCAGGGAAATATCTTTGTTACACTTTCAAAGCAATGTTTTCATTTCAGAGACTTTTCATAAGAAAGTCTTTAGAGCTCACTGTATTAAGTGAGACAAGTCAGATACAGAATGACAAATACTACATGGTCTCAGTCATATGTAGAATGTAAAAGATTTGATCTCGCAGGGATTGCAAGTAACATAGTGGCTACCAGAGGCTGGGCACAAATGTGGAGGAGCTGGTCAAGTGGTACAAAGTTCTTCTATCTAAGGAGGCTTGAATTCTTGTATTCTGTGCACAGTAAGGTGATAAAATTTGCTGTAATCTCCTGTACATTGTCAGACAGCTAGAAGAGAGGACTCTGAATGGCAAAGAAATGAAAAATGTTTTGAGATGGTGGATATACTATCCACACTGATTTAATCATCACATAATGCATCCATTTATTAAAACATCACACTTTATACCATAAATATACACAATTATATATATATGCAATTATATATGCAATATATAATGACATAAAATCTAAAACGTCTCATTTATAATTGAATACTTAAAGAACGACTTAGATACTGCTTCTTTAATTTAAAATATTAGATTCTGTATGGTAACTTCCGATGATAAAAGTTATTTTTAGGGTCTGTTTATTTACTAAGCAGAATTACATTCACTGAACACTTATTGGTGCATCAGACATTGTTTTATCTGCTGGGAATGATTTGGTAATTTGGATGAGAAGCATAGAATAAGAGAAACAGTTTTACTCTTCAGAGATGCACAAGAGGCAGAATGTGGGTGATCAGAGTGTGCCTTGGGGGGCTACTTGCCTTGTAGACTCTGAATTTTGATCAAGATTTCTAGGAAGCTATCTGAGAAAGATTAAAGTGGAAAACTCTAATTTCTGTGAGGAAATTATTTTTAAGGACCTTGCATTAGCTAAGATCCACTAGAAGAAATGAACACAATGGACCAGTTGAGAAGTGGCCCCATTAGGAATGTATTTTGAAACTGCACTGACAACATTTACTTAACAGTTGTGCAGGAGGTGTGGGGAGCAAAGAGGAATCGAAGATGGTGCCATGGGTTTTATGTTCTGACCACTGGGAGAATTGATGCTATTGATTGAGATAAATTATAGTTTCAGAAAAATTGTTTATTTATGCATGCATATATGCTACCAGAAGGTAAACCATTATTAGCAAGATTACCCTTTATTTGGTGACTCCTTTTTGATTTTGAGATACAATTGGTAAATCTCTATGTCAAATGATTTAGATGTTATTCTCAACTGTTTATCCTGAATACATGAATCTCATCATGAAAAGTGAAATAAATGGAGTTACTATCCTGCAGGTAAAAAGTGCAATCTCCATTCACACACTGCCATATCTCACCCTGCACCGTGTTTGCATTCCTTGTGTTAGCTTTATCACAGGAAGCTACGACCGGACATGCAAGCTCTGGGACACTGCGTCTGGAGAGGAGCTGCACACGCTGGAGGGCCACAAGAATGTGGTTTACGCCATAGCTTTCAACAATCCTTATGGGTTTGTGATTCCATTCACTTATTCCTTCATTGATTTTTTTAAACTTTTATTTAATGAATATAAATTTCCAAAGTACAATGCCCCCCCCCATAATGTCCCTCCCACCCGCAACCCTCCCCTTTCCCACTCCCTCTCCCTTTCCATTCACATCAAGATTCATTTTCAATTCTCTTTATATACAGAAGATCAGTTTAGCATACATTAAGTAAAGATTTCAACAGTTTGCTCCCACACAGAAACATGAAGTGAAAAATACTGTTTGAGTACTAGTTATAGCATTAAATCTCAATGTACAGCACACTAAGGACAGAGATCCTACATGAGGAGTAAGTGCACAGTGACTCCTGTTGTTGACTTAACAAATTGACACTCTTGTATATGGCATCAGTAATCACCCTAGGCTCTTGTCATGAGCTGCCAAGGCTATGGAAGCCCCCTGAGTTCACTGCCTCGGATCATATTTAGACAAGGCCTTGGTCAAAGTGGAAGTTCTCTCCTCCCTTCAGAGAAAGGTACCTCCTTCTTTGAAGACCTGTTCTTTCCACTGGGATCTCACTTGCAGAGATCTTTCATTTAGGTTTTTTTTTTTCCCCAGAGTGTCTTGGCTTTCCATGCCTGAAATACTCTCATGGGCTTTTCAGCCGGATCCGCATGCCTTAAGGGCTGATTCTGAGGCCAGAGTGCTGTTTAGGACATCTGCCATTCTATGGGTCTGCTGTGTATCTCACTTCCCATGTTGGATCATTCTCTCCCTTCTTTATTCTATCAGCTAGTATTTGCAGACACTATTCTTGTTTCTGTGATCCCTTTGGTTCTTAGTCCTATCATTATGATCAATTGTGAACAGAAATTGATCACTGGGACTAGTGAGATGGCATTGGTACATGCCACCTTGATGGGATTGAATTGGAATCCCCGGTATGTTTCTAACTCTACCGTTTGAGGTAAGTCAGCTTGAGCATGTCCCGAATTGCACATCTCTTCCCTCTCTTATTCCCACTCTTATATTTAACAGCGATCACTTTTCAGTTAAGTTTCAGCACTTAAAAAGAATTGTGTATTGATTACAGTATTCAATCAAAAGTATTAAGTAGAACAAACAAAAAAATACTAAGAGGGTAACATTAAAAATTCATCCTTCCATCTATTGGGGAGGAAAGGGAAGGAGATAGAAGACTAATGTTGATTGAGCATCTAGCATATGCTTTGGAGGACTTTCAGGTACCTTTGGGTTAGGTATTCCTGTTGTCACAGAAAGAATACAAAGTTTGATGCCCTTCCCAGGATCATTCAGTGGTGTGATCTCCTTCAAGGAAGATGACTCTCAGCCTTTGGGAGTTCTCCAACAGGGAGTTTCTGCTAATGTTCACAGCACTGGGCCAGTGCTCCTGGAGAATGTGTCATACACAAACTGTAAAGTGGTTTAATTCATTTAGAAGTTATTTTTCAATTTTGCCAAGTAGAAAAAAATTACATTGTCACAACATGCCAAAGAACAGTACTCAGTACAATGAAATGTTTTATAACCAACTTCTACTTAACTGATTCAGAAGATTAACTAATGTTATTCTGTCCCTTCTGTGTGGCATACCTCTGGTATTCATGGCTCCCTGAATGCTTGTAGCACTTGAGCTATACACAGGTGTGCTTAACTGCTCCACTCATGAGGGTCTTAGCTTATCAAAAGTTGGCTCTGTTTGTCTACAATTTGCTTATGTTGGTTGTGTTTTCACTTTACATTATGTAAGTTAACATGCAGTTTAATCAAATATTACATAAGCTAGTGAATTATGAGTGTGAAAAGAAAGCTGTGAAAACATAGATACAGTATTGAAAATATTGTTAGCAAATGAAGTTGAGGATGAGATTCATGCTGAATTAGAAAGTGCATTGTAAAAATGTAGAAAAACTGTGCACTCACAATGTTCTATAAGTATATTGGAGTTCTTTAAGTTCTCATTTCATTTCTTAATTCTTTAATTTACATTTTCAGCATGAACAAATTTCATGTATTTCATATACACAGATTTAGGAACATAGTGATCCTTCCCACCCTAACATCCCTCCCATAACACTTCTACCCTACTTTCTCCTTCCTTTCTTATTCAATTTATTTTGTACTCATAAGATTAAACCTACACTAAGTAAAGAATTCAACAAATAGTAAGAAGTAAAAACACGGGAACTCAACAGTAGAGATAATGGCTGTAAAAAACCATCAGATTTCAAAATGTCAATTTCACTCATATACACAACTATTTTTTGTACTCTATTAGTTACCAAGGATCAGGGAAAACATATTGTGTTTGTATTTTTGGGCCTAGCTTATTTCACTAAGTATAATGGTTTCCAGATGCAAACATTTTGTTACAAAAGACAGTGTTTTATTCTTTTTATGGCTAAGAAGTATTCCATACTATGTATATTTTTAAATCTAGTCATCAGTTGATGGGCATCTGAGTTGATTTTCTATCTTAGCTATTGTGAATTGAGTTGCAATAAACTTGGGGGTACACATAACTCTTTCATATTTTGATTTCATTTTGCTTGAGTAAAACCCAGGGGTGGGATTACTGATATATCTATTTTTAGCTTTCTATAGTATCTCCATACTGCCTTCTACAATGACTGTACTAGTTTACACTCCCACCAACAATGGATTAGGGTACCTTTTTCCCCACATTCTCATCAGAATTTGTTATTTTTTTGATTTCTGTTTGAGAGCCATTCTAATAGGAGTGAGATGAAACCATACTGTGGTTTGTTTTTGCCTTTCCCTAATGGCTGTTGATCTGAGCTTTTTTTTTTTTTTCGTGTGTTTGTTGGCCATTTGAATTTCTTCTTTTGAAAAATGCTTGTTTGAGTCCTTTGCCTATTTTTTAACTGGATTATTTGTTTTTTTGTTGTTGTTGTTGAGTTTCTTGAGCTCTTTACAGATTCTGGATATTAATCCTTTATCAGTTGCATTGTTTGCAAATATTTTTCTCTCATTCTGTCAGTTGCCTCTTTCTGTTGTTGAGTGTTTCCTTTGTAGTGCAGAAGCTTCTTTGCTTGATGTAATCTCATTTGTCTATCTTTGCTTTTTATTGCCTTTACTTCTGGGGTTGTTTCTGAGAAGTCTTTGCCTATGCCAAAATCTGGTACAGTTTCCCCAGTGTTTGCCTCTAGTAATTTGATGGTATTAGGTCATAGATTTATGAGTTGATTTTTGTATAAGGTGTAAGATGGGGATCTTGTTTTTTATTTCTCATGTGGAGATCCAAAGCACCATTTGTAGAACAGACTCTTTTCTCCAGGGATTTATTTTAGTTCCTTTGTCAAAGAATAGTTGGTTATAGATGAGTGAATTTATTTCTGGAGATTCTATTCTGTTCTCTTGGTCTACATGTCTATTTTTGTGCTAGTATCAGGCTGTTTTGATTATAACAGCCCATAGTATATCTTGAAATATGGTACTGTGATGCCTCTGGCTTTGTTTTTGTTGTTTAAGATTACTTTAGCTATTCAGTAACACTGTGCTTCCTTATGAGCTTTAGCATAATTTTTTCTAGATCTGAGAAGAATGTCATTGGAATTTTTATTAGGATCACATTGAATCTGTAAATTGCTTTCAGCGGATGGATATTTTTATATGTTAATTCTTCCAATTCATGAACATGGAAGATTTTTCCATTTTCATATCTTCTTCTAATTCTTTCTTTAATGTTTGTAATTTTCATCATAAAAACCTTTCATCTCCTTGGTTAAATTTATTCCAAGGTATTTAAATTACTCTGTAGCTATTGTGAATAGGACCAGTCTTATAAGTTCCTTCTCAGCCATGGCACTGTCTATTTATATAAAGGCTGTTGATTTTTCTGTGTTAATTTTATATCCTGCCACTTCACCAAACTCTTTATGTGTTCCAATAGTCTCTTAGTGGAGTCTTTTGGTTCCCCTGTATAAAGAATCATGCCATATGCAAACAGAGATGATTTGATTTGACTTCCTCCTTTCCAATTTGTGTAACCCTGATTTCTTTTTCTTGCTGAATGACTCTGGCTAAAACTTTCAGGACTATACAGAATAGCAATGGTGAAAGTGGAGATCCTTGTCTGATTTTGGATCTTAGTAGAAATGCTTCCAGCATTATGATGCTGACTGTGGGTTTATGATAAATTGCTTTGATTGTGTTGAGGAATGTTCCTTCTATACCCAATTTGCTTAAAGGTTCTATCATGAAAGGATGCTGTGTTTTATCAAATGCTTTATCTGCATTTTCAGTCATATGATTGAGATGATCATGTGGTGTTTATTTTTCAGTTTGTTAATGTGGTGTATCATGTTCATTGATTTGTATGTATTGAACCATCCCTGTATACCAGGGATAAACCCTACTTGGTGCAGGTGCATGCTCTTTCTGATGTGCTGTTTGGTTCAATGGGCTAGTATTTTGTTGAGGATTTTTGCACCTATGTTCATAAGTGATATTAATCTACACCTCCTTTTTTGTTGTATGTTTTTCTGGTTTTGGAATTAAGATGATGATGGCCTGATAGAAGGAATTTGAGAGGATTTCCCCCTTTCAGTTGTTTTGAATAGGTACCTGCTTGTCTTTTTGGTTTAATTGGGCCAATGATGTATCAATTTTGTTTATTCTCTAACATTAATTGTTTCTTTCCTCCTACTAATTTTGAGTTTGGCTTGTTGTTTTTGTAATTCCTTGAGGTACGCTGATAGCTCTTTTATTTGGTGCCTTTCCAATTTCTTCATGTAGGCACCAGTTTCTCTAAACTTCCCTCTTAACACTGCTTTTGCTGTATCCCATAAGTTTTTTTTTTTTTTTGCACTATGCATTTAATGTCATATGCTTAGGATACAGCAGTTAACAAAGCTATTGTAAGGTTCTACCTTATAAATCTTCCAAGTCAATTGAGAGTTCAGAATTGGAGTGGGAAGCCCTTGACTTGCTCAACATTCTCTTCAACAGCAAACACTGTGGCCAAAGGACAGAGGGAATT